AGTGAGAACCAAACATGGGGAGGCTGCGTTTCAGATCCATGCAGCTAAGATCTGGAACAATCTCCCTGAAAATGTGAGGGAGGCGTCTACTCTGTCAATGTTCAAATCCAGGTTAAAGACTGTTCTGTTTGCCTGTGCATACAACTGAAGGATTTTATCTCCATTTCTAATGCACTGCTGTCATTTATTTATTTATTTTTTTAAATTTCTTGTGTAATTTTGAAAGTTTTAATGGTTTTATTCTTTTGTGTGATTTTAATGTTTTAATTGTGTTTTAATCTTTTGTGTGATTTTAATGTTTTAATTGTGTTTTAATCTTTTGTGTGATTTTAATGTTTTAATTGTGATTCTGGTGTTTGTTTTATGTGATGATTTGTGATGTGGACTGTGAAGCGCTTTGTGTTGCCCTGTGTATGAAAGGCGCTCTACAAATAAACTTTGATTGATTGATTGATTGAACCGAGTTCCTCTGATATGTCAGCGCCCGTGAAGTCCCATGAGCTAATGAGCACAAGCCATTCATTTGAATAGGGCGCCATCTTGGATCACTGGGGCTTGGAGAGGATGCAATGTGAAATGAAAAGAAAAGAAAGGGAAATATAACAAATCAATCCACACTATGTTAAGGTCTCACATTTGATGCTGATAACTTGGAAAAAAAATAGCTCATTTGACCTGTTTTATCAGAAATAAATCCAATTAAATTACACTATTTTCCATATAACACACAATACATTTGATAATGAATTCTCAGTAAGATTTGGCCATTGGCATTCCAGTACATATTCATTTTGACCTTTGGATGAAAGCCATGTTTGATTTCAAGAGTTCTTCCTCAAATTTCAGATAGGTCATGCATGTGCAATTCCAAATAAAACATTAACTCTGACCTAATCTTTGCCAAGATGAAGTGAAACCTCTGAAAACCTTCAGGCCTTCTCTTGATATGTTGGCACACACCAAAACAACAAATATATTTTCAAAATATTAAACAATTTAAGTTAATATATTCTTGAATTAAGCAGTTTGGATCTTTATCTTATTTGGGAAAAAGCATGTATTTCTTGTGTTTGTGGGAACTCCCCTGGGATTGTCCATGGCCCTGTGGGGAAGACCAGGGAGATGGTTTTGGATTTCCAGGGAAGTTGACAGATTGGCCTCTTTCAAGTCTAAACCACAAACTGGACTGGTCTCACAGAGCGGACAGTGTCTTCCTGAAGTGCCTTCTCAGGAGGTGCTGGGGTCACTCCTGAAGACCTTCCATGACTCTGATGGCATCAGCCATTTTGTAGTGGACTTCTTGGTGAAGTGTGAAGAGGTTCTGCAGGTCTCTCCTTTCTGCTGCTGTCAGACTGTACAATGAACACTGCTGACACTGTAAAATGTTCAATGACTTGGAATCTGCCACAGCAACTGGTTTTCTGACCTCACTGATCAGACAGGGACATCAGAAGATGACAGCCCAGTCAAATTTTCAGGATTCAATATGTCTTATGCAAAAAGGGTTGAGTTTTTCTCTAAATGTTTACACCTATTTATTTTCTCCTTGAATTTCTTTTTCCTTGTAATTTTCTCTACAACACAAATCATATTTCTTTTGTCCTGATTCAACAACTGCTTTATTTTAGTCATGCAGTCTGTCCCTTTTAAAAAATATTCTACTTTCCTGTGGGTTTTGTTGATAAAATGGTGGTTAAAAAGGCGCTGCTGTGACGGCTCATGTCCTACATTGTGCTGTGGTAACTTTGTGGTTCATCAGCTCATGTTGGGAGGGGCTATAGGCTAACTATGGTCGCGAGTTACAATTACCCAAAGACACAACACGCTGTTTGCCTGCTCATGATTAATGCGCTGGATCAATGTGGGGCACTTTTTTCATGCTCCTCGGTGACGGACGATTCCTTCGAGATTTTTCTTTATATCCATTTTTTTCTTTCCTCCCTCTGCTATCAGCCAAATTGGATGATCAGTGGGGGAATTGTGTCGCTCTCTCGGGTTTTCTCTGTAGTTTGTAGATTTTGCCTTCAGCTTGAAATTCACTCTAACTGCAGAAGCGGTTTTTTTCTGAATATTAAGCAATAGTCCAGAGTAAAGAGGAGGTTAAAGCTAATCCTACCAAGTGTTGAGATTCAATCATTCTTTGATATAACTTCATGTGTAGTTGTGCTTGAAAGTTTGTAGCTATAACGTTTTATGGATTATGACTCATTGTTGGTGCTTGTGTGAAGCCATTGTGTAATAAACATGATTTGTAATTTTATACCGTAACATCATTGAGTCAATCTGCAATCTCAAAAGTGCAGTTCTTACAAGGCGGTTCAGGAATTTACAGGAACGGGAGGCTTTTCACCAATCAGAATGGGCAGCCCTAACATCACAACTATAAGACTCCAAACTGTCGCATAAGGGGCAATTGCGGGAGGTAAACTTCTAATGAGGGTGAGATAATTGGTTTCTGTTGTGATTATACTTTTAAAATAGAACACATTTATTTGACGATAAATAGTTCAACAAAAAGTTAGAACAACATTTTATACACAATATAAATAAACACATGAAAGCGTTGTAGCTGTTTAAGTGTTTACAAGCTATACACATTTTGCACTTTCTTTTTTCTAGGATTTCCAGCCACAGTCTCACGTCTCCACAGAAATGACGGGTAACATGCTCTCTATCTAATGGAGGGAATTATTCTAAAATACAAAACGTAAAATATGTGAAGCAACTGAATATTCATTAAAATAAAAGTAGGACTCCCCACAAAAGCTACAAGTTGCATCTTTAAACCAATAAGTGTAAATCCGTCTCTAAATGACAGTGAAAACAATCATTATAAGTAAATACATTCACATACGTTAAAGTTAAGCCAAGACACGCTGTTTGATCTTTACATACCATAATCTATTCACACTCTAAACTGTATTTAAAGCATCCAGTTATATGTTTCTCTTAATAATTACCCAGAGACCCACACCTTTCATTGTGCACATTAACCACCATTCTGAGGGCCATTGTGAACACAGATGGACTGCTCTCTGCATTCAGCTCTCTCCATTAAAATGACTGGTGTGCTCTCATGTCCCATTTCAATGGCGCTCAAACAAAAGCCAATCACTCAACATGTGCGGCTCATCCACCAAACGGCAATATGTGCTTTAAGTGCACGGGCCAGTCCACGCACCAGTTTTATACATGGATCAACCTTCAGAAATGACCCTTTCTTGAACCGTTTATTCATAATACTACTTTTAAGAGACGTCTGAAGAAATCTTGAAAAACCTATAGAATTATAAACTCCATGTACTTAGCATATTGAAATTGGCCAAGCTTGGATATTGTGTATGCGTACTTTGAGTAAATGCGTGTAATGAGGATCCGATAAAGAAAATACATTACAAAATACATGTGTACATAAGATAAAATGCATACATACAGAACATTATTTATTTCATTTGATGTATTAGTTGTTTTCCTCGTAGGATTTGAAGTCACATTGCAGTAACGTCGTCCAGTACATTTCATGGTCCTTCGGTAATTGAAAAATCTCGTTGTCCAATTACAGGCATTATCAGTGGATACACTCATTACAGGGTTAAGGAGGAGGGAGAATAATTAAAAAAGATTTGCAGTTTGGCTGTTACACTGTGTTCACCTGACACGTTCTTCAGGATTAATCGGATTCTTAGAGGACCATGCGCTTCCCTACCACAGTTTGGACGGGATCAAACAATGTTCATTTGGCCATGTTAGAACAGAAGAACTTGATACATTCATTTTTGGCTTAGCTCCATTGAAAGTCACTGAAATTCTGTGTGTTTTTATTTATTTGTCTTTAGTGACCTTTAGTTAACATGAAAGTTCCAATGAGATTTCTGAGAAGTCCTGGCAAAGTGAGAATGAGGTCAGGAAACCAGAGCACCCAGTCGAAACCTGCACAGGCACTGAGAGAACATGAATAGGATTTGAACCCAAGACAGTAGTTTGGTTGATTGCGACAAATGAAAAAAGTGAAAAAATAATAAAATTGGGCCGAGATGTGAGTGACTGTTCAAGGGAGGTCATCCCTACTTCTTGTAACTGTAGAAAAATGCTGTTTTGAAACCAATTCCTCCAAATAAGTTAGTAAGTAAGTAATCTTTATTTATATACCGCCTTTCACAAAGCGGTTTACAATTGTTTCCTTTTGGGCACTTGTCCTCTCACTCCACACAGAGATGGGAGCGGGGTCGCCGAAAAGGAGGCGCATGCCACATACCTCGCTTTTTGAATTCCCTTTAATTAGCAAATAAATTATAAATACATACATTTGTAACTCTGAAGGACCCAGTTCAGGGCATACAGCTCAAGAGGTTCTCAGAATTTCTCACCAAACAGTCGCAAATACAGTTGATTATTAATGTTAATAACTTTAGCGCTTTTGAGAACACTCAAAGGCGCTTCACATGTCATCGTTCATTCACTCCATACATGGTGGTGATAAACTACTACTGTAGCCACAGCTGCCCTGGGGCACTCTGACAGGAGCGAGGCAATCAGTATGTTCCATAGGCCCCTCCGACGCACACACCAGACTCCTTCTAGGCAATGTGGGTGAAGTATCTTGCCTAAGGACACAATGGCAGTTTGGCACTTTACAGCCGCAGCCGCCCCCACTCTGGCACCTGGTGTTCCTGGAGGTCTCCCATCACAGCACTAACCAGGCCCTGCTTAGATTCAGAGGTCTAACAGGATCTGGCTTTCAAATGCAGGTAAGGCCACTATTTACTACTTGCCCTTTTTCCAGCCAACATTAAAAGTGCAAACAAACACAAGTGCTGCTCATGTGTCATTGTGTAAGAGCTGAAAGCGCCTGTGGTTGAACTCACTCAGTGACTTGAAGCTTCCACAGCCACAACATAAACACGCTGCAGGATGAGCCCTGTGCTCTCTGTCTATTTTGTTTTCCATAATGGGTTAAACCGGTGTTGAGTGAGTTCTCTTGTGTCTTGTTATGTTCATATTTACAGTGAAGAAAACAGAAGGTCCGGCTCCACGCAGAGGGTGAAACCGAGCTGCTCCGCCAGCTGGAACAACATTAAAGCCGGGATAAACGAGACGGCTGTTATGGAAAGGCTTATGAATCAGCATGCTCATAATCGGTTTGTTTGTTCTGAATGATGAATTTACTGACGCAACTAACAAAATCAAACTCCCACTTCAGGTTGTTGGCGGTAGTGGTGGAGTAGTGAGTGCTTGTGCTTCACAGCAAGAAGGTCCTGGGTTCGATTCCACCTCCAGACCTATCTGTAAGTAAGTAAGTAAGTAATCTTTATTTGTATAGCACCTTTCACAGGCAAAGGCCACAAAGTGCTTCACAACAGAGTAAAACATGACAAAATTAAATACAATATAAAAAGGGTCAAAACAACACAGAAATCGTATCAGCCCAAAAATAGCTAATTAAAGGCTTGAACAAATAAATTAGTCTTAAGATTGCTTTTAAAAGTATCAACCGAGTCAGTAGAGCGCAAAGAGGGCGGAAGATCGTTCCAAAGCCTGGAAGGATCGGTCACCTCTTGTACGGAAACAAGTGCGTGGAACCTTTAGCAGATTTTGATCCACAGACCTCAGAGCCCGAGCAGGTGTGTGAGGCTGGATCAGAAAACTGAGGTAAGAAGGAGCTTGACCACGCAAGGCTCTGAAAGCTAGAACCAAAATTTTAAACGTGTTCCTATAGGACACTGGCAGCCAATGAAGTTGTTTTAAGATAGGAGATATGTGGGTCCTCCTGTTAGTGCGGGTCAGAATTCTTGCTGCAGAGTTTTGCACTAGTTGCAGTCGAGAGAGCTCCTTCTTATTTAGACATGAAAACAAACTATTACAATAGTCTAAACGTGAAGACACAAATGCATGAATGATAAGCTCCAAGTCATTACGTGCGACCATATTCCTAAGTTTAGAAATGTTCCTTAGTTGAAAGAACAGTTCCTTGTTAGCTGCTTACAGTGCTGGACTAATGACATGTCTTTGTCAAAGATAACACCCAAGTTTCGAAGACTTGGCTTCGCTGACTGGCCTAAGTCACCCAGGTACTGTTTAATCCCCGGAATTGCATCATCAGGTGCGATAACCAGTGTTTCGGTTTTGTCTGCATTTAGCTGCAGAGAGTTATCGCTGAGCCATTGTTTTATTTCCACTAGACAATGGAGCAGAGAGTCTAGCTTCCGGATTTCAGACGGCTTAAAGGAACAGTAAAGCTGGATATCGTCAGCAAATAGATGGAAAGAAACATCACTGAACCTTTGGATGATGTTTCCCAAAGGAATCAAATACAACAAAAATAAGACAGGACCCAAAACGGACCCTTGAGGCACTCCACACAACAAACCCACAGACTCAGACCTAATTTGGTTAGCTGTAACACTGAAGCTACGCCCCGATAAGTATGAGGAGAACCACTGTAGAACTGCCCCCGACAGTCCTACTTGATCCCTCAGTCTTTTCAGCAGAACCTGATGGTCAACGGTGTCGAATGCTGAGGACAGATCCAAGAAAACTAGAACAGTGCGCTTCCCAGAATCAGCAGACATCATAATGTCGCTGGACACTTTCAGTAAGGCCGTTTCCGTAGAGTGTTGTTTACGGAAACCAGACTGAAACGGCTCATGGATGTTATTTTGATCCAGGAAGAACGTAAGCTGTTCACAGACCACCTTCTCAAGGATCTTGGACAGGAACGGGAGTTTCGAAATAGGCCTAAAACTATTAAGATCGGTCGGGTCTAACCCTGCTCTTTTTAGTAATGGCTCCACTATGGCATATTTAAAGGCACTGGGAAACACGCCAGTTGACAAAGAGACATTAACCATTTTGGTAACACAAGGGCCAATTACCTCGAACACTTTTTGAAAAAGCCTGCAAGGAAGGATGTCAGATGAACAAGAGGAGGGCTTCATCTTGGACACCAGAGCTGAAATATCAGAAAATGTCACCGTTTTAAATGAAGACCACATACTGGACACAGGCTCAAACACAGCCTTGGGTACCACACAGAAGGGGCGAGATTTTATCCTTGATCATCTTAATTTTGTTTGTGAAAAATCTCGAAAAGGCATTGCTGTCAGCTTCACAAAAGATCTGTGTGGAGTTTGCATGCTCTCCCCGTGTCTGCGTAGGTTTCCTCTTGGTGCTCCGGTTTCCTCTACCAATAAAAATAAGTAGAAAGGCATGAGCATTCTGTACGGTGACCTCGCTCCCATCTCTGTGTGGAGTGAGACACAACTTGTAGCTAACACACAATTGTAAAGCGCTTTGTGACTCTGCTCTGTGAAAGGCACTATATAAATAAATATTACCTACTTACAGAGTCCGCAGAAGTTAAAATGCGTATCAATATATCTGAGATTGTGAATGATAACAGGTACAGTGTACATCCATTCCACTTGATCAGAAGTTTTCATCCCCCAGTTCCCAATTGTGTGTATTACTCTTTCAACATCTTTGACCATTTGGCGTCTTATTTTTGTGGAGGAGGTTCTTTGAGGGTGAAGCTGCCCATTCTTCTTGGCAAAACGCTTCCAGTCAGTGTAAATTCCTGGGCTGCCTTGCATGAATGGCATGTATGAGCTCTTCACAGATGGACAGAATTATGTTATGAATTGAAAATACAAAGCATGTTTATTCGACAGAAAATTGCTACACAAAACCCAACAATGAGTGAATTTTGTGTGTGTTCAATTCATTTCAGTTTATCAATGTAGTATAGCCCTAAATCACAACAGTAGTCATCTCAGAGGACTTTACAGTTGTTGATACGTCAACATTAGTTCAGAGAATCAAACACTCCTATCACAGAAAAATGTATCAATAACAAATACATAGGAAACATTGGACCATAGGGAGTTGAACAACCAATGTCCGCTAGTGCCTTGATCTTTAGGGTCGCGTGTTGGGGTGGCAGTCTGACCTCGAGAGACAGTAACCGGGTCGACAGGCTGATCAGGAACTGTGTCTCTGTGATGGGGAGAAGTGTGGACTATGTGGAGCTGTGGCTCTAATGCAGGGCATCCTGGGTAACTCCAGACACCCTCTGCATGACACTATGGCCTCTCAGAGGGGAAGCAACGGGCTCCTACCACTACGCTGCCGAACTTTGTTCCTTCGGCTGTCAGACTGTACAACAAACCTGAATGATTCTTTTGCTGCTGGACAATTGAATTTCTCCTACGGGGATCAATAAAGTATCTTTATATCTATCTATCTATAAATGACTTTAAATGTCCTGAATTATCACTGGTCATATTTTGCATAACCTACAAAATCTGTCTTAAACTTTTATAATCTATGACTTGGTGTGTAAACTTTCTAGCAAAACTGTAATTATTCTCATTATTTATGTTTTGTTCAGGCAATCACACTTTTGTAGCACGCTTGTGTAACATAAGCAATCCTTTCTGTAAGCGTCCAGAGCTTCACACTGCATTTCTGAACCTTAGTTGATTTTGAAGCTTGTTTGGAGGTCGCCCCATCTTGAGGTCCCTAACTTTTGACGGAATAGAATTCAGTCACAAAGTTGATCCGCTCAGGCCAAGGATTTTGCTTAACCTCTTCTGGAAAAACGGACCGCGGGGTGAATTCATAAAAGACTAGTCTGTTGGACAATTTGTCTTTTGACAGGAGGGAACATTGGGATACTCCAGAGGGTAGTGAGCGGTGAGTGGCACAGCCTGCCTGGGGCGCTATACCTGCAGGCCACTCTTTCCCTGATTTGTCCTGGATGAGAGCAGCTGCCATCTGGCCCAGCCGGGGAATAGGCTGCTGTGTGGAGCAGATGTTGAGTGTGAGCGGCTCCGGCTCGGCTCCGGAGGAAGAGGTGTCCATCAGAGGTGCCACACAGGCTTCAGGGAGCAGCACTCTCTGACCTTGAGGCTGCCATGAGTCTGTGGCCACTTATGTCGTTAGCCATTAAAACCAGACACTGGAACATCAAGCCAATGATAGGGATGCTGCAGTTTTGTTCTAGTTTGTTTGTGTATTATAGTTAAGGCTGGAGAATCTCACCTTCAAACCACACAACAAATAAGTCTTTATTACAACCCACCCACCTTGGTCTCAAAACAGTTTGGTTGCCGTGGCAAGATCTCTTCTCTGTCTGGTGCACACTGGGGTAGTCTTGCACAGTTTTTCCGATGTGGTTTTACTGCAAATGGTAAATACATTCTTCTATCTATCTATCTATTCTATCTTTTGCATGTATTTTTTGGTCTCTATTTGTGAAAACTTGACTGACCCTCATTCAGCCAATCAGCTCTCAACCCAAAGCATTAAATAGTGAGTGACCCTTTCTTAGTGTGACAAAAATAACAAAAATAAATGATGAAGACAGCATGTTGTAATCTGATTTCATCAAAACATTTTTTTTTTCAGAGGAAAAGATGTAAGGTGCTTTAAGTTATTTGTTGATCGCCAAACAACTCGTTGCGTTTCAGGGATTATCATGATAAAATACCACACTCTGTTACAGTCTCTTGATTTGGACTTTTTTTTATTCAATCTGGATGCTGCAGTCAACAAAACAATACGGGCCTTATTCATCATGTGTTTCCTCATGTGCAAAATGGTTAATCACCCTTTACACTGATTTATCATAGATTCAACTAAAGAACCAAACCTCTGAAATCGCACACGCTATTTCACTTTTGCACCTGAAGTTTAGCACCTGGGTGGATAAATGAGGCTCTAAGTGGAATGGCAATTTTGAGTAAAAGTTACATAAACATATCACAATCAGTCCTCTGAACTAATCACTGCGGTGCACACAAGCCACGTGGCGTATGCATCATAGATTGTAAGTATACACACACGGTGAATGTGAACAAAAACCACATTTGCTCACACAAAAATCCACAAAACACAGAGGCCGAATGTGTTCAATTTTTGATCCAAAAGCTTTGTAGATATAAGGTTTTTTCATATACATTTTACCATATATACATCTGTATATATTTCTGCATTGTATTTTGTGGGCAGCCCTGGAGGACATCAATATGATATCCTAAATGTTTTTAAAAGTATGCATGAAACAGGAAAAAGACACTTTCGAATAATATTTCTGCTTTTATTTAGCTTTTTGTTTCTTTAAAAGCAACTTTCAAATTGAGTCAAAATAGTTGCTCTTAATGAACATAACTTTTGCTATTGCTCTGAAGTGAACGGGACATATCAGCTTTCTGTAATCCCGCTGTTGGATGAAAAGAGGACAGCGCAAAATGCAAGGGCAGGTCTATTTATATCCTCTGCCTCCATCATCCGGATCTCTGCAATCAATAAGCATTTAATCAGTCAATTATATGGCAGCAAGTTAACAGCCCGCAGGTACGGCCATCCCCGAGCACTTTGCCTTGAAAATACAGGCCGTAGGAAATTTATCTTTTGGAAAATGTCATGGCAGAAAATGAAAATTCAACTCCACCCTGTGTCGTCCACGGGAGAGATAAAGAGGGCACGTTTCTGAAGAGGAGATAGGAAAAGAGCGAGCCAATGCCCCATGGTACAAGTGATCTACAAATACAGAACTTTGTTAATCAGAGAGGAGGGAAAAGCCGTGTTGATAGTGGATATTTTAGCCATTTAAATGATACGAATGATTTGGTTCTATCAGCGTGTTTCTACATTGACATACCTCGTTTTGGGAGAAGTCAGTTTTTACCACTAAATGATCTTCAGGGAAATAAATTACTGCCCTAAGAGCAGAGAGATTATTGTTTGCATAGTTTTAGTTGAATTGGGTGAATGGATTCCTCACTAAAGAAGAGCACATTCTACAGTTTACTTCACAAAACCGGAGAAAGAGCAGCAAGAAGACAAAATGTATTAAAAAAAGTGAAAAAAGGAATGTGACCAGAATATTTAGGCACGCAATCTAATTGTAATCTCCCGGCAAACACAAAAGCCGCCTCCACTGTGAGTAACAACTGTCTTCTCTCTTTCTTTTGTCACTGAGAAAGTGTAGTGATCACTATTTGGCAACTCACCCGTGGAGGATAAAATCATTTTACTTGGCGCCCTCATTAGGATCAGTGTGTCATTAGGTGTAATGGTTCTTTTGGCACCCCGTCCACGGCAAACTCCCGGTTATCTCCACTTTGTTTTATTGGTGAAATTACAAACATACAAAACGAATAAGATAAGACACCATTGTGGACATAAAAAAGTATGAAATGCGTGTGTGTGTTTGTATGTGTGCTGTGTGCTGTGTGTGTGTGTGTGTGCTGTGTGTGTGTGTGTGTGTGTGTTCGTATGTGTGCTGTGTGGTGTGTGTGTGTGTGTGTGTGTTCGTATGTGTGCTGTGTGCTGTGTGTGTGTGTGTGTGTGTGTTCGTATGTGTGCTGTGTGGTGTGTGTGTGTGTGTGTCTTCGTATGTGTGCTGTGTGTGTGTGTGTGTGTGTGTGTTCGTATGTGTGCTGTGTGGTGTGTGTGTGTGTTCGTATGTGTGCTGTGTGGTGTGTGTGTGTGTGTGTGTTCGTATGTGTGCTGTGTGTGTGTGTGTGTGTGTCTGTGTGTGTGTTCGTATGTGTGCTGTGTGTGTGTGTGTGTGCGTGTGTTTGTATGTGTGCTGTGTGCTGTGTGTGTGCGTGTGCAACCGCTTACCTGATCAAAAGGAAATAAATATTGAAACAAATAATAATATACAATAACTTAAATGAAAAATTTAGTCTTTGTAAGAAGAATTTATATTCTTTTGATACGGTTGCGCTGGGCCGCGTCGTACACCCGCTTCCGGCCCCGACTCCACCGGGCGCGTACAGTAAAACGGACGACGGATCCGTCCAAACATGTCCGTTTCATCTCCGTCTCCGTTATCTCCATGAGAGTGAATGGAAGTGGCTCCACTGCCTCCGCATGCGTCCGTCCAACGTACGTCGGACCTATTCCGTCAACGGAGGGTGCAAAAGACGTGGACGGACGAAATAGAAACAATCCTATTTGTTCCGTCCGTCGACGCGTGTCGGGTCCGTTTTCCATTGAAAATGCAATGGAATAACATTGTTAAACATGTATTGATATGCTGTAGTCCTTGGTTATAAGTATTTGTTAATGACAATGATTATTAACAAACGTGTGTAATGTTTTTCATGTATTAATTTAAATAATTGTTTCCTGATCGTAAATCTACCATTTATTTTTCGCGTAATGTTAATACGCTAATCTTTACATAAACCTCGCTCTTCTGTCCCGTCTACCTCCGAGGCGCTCTCTCCTCACCGCCGCGCGCTCCCAGACAGACAGACAGACAGACAGACAGACAGACAGACAGACACACACACACACACAGAGCTGCACTTATGAGAGACAGATCTCACAACACTGGATATGTTGGAGTTCTTTTCTCTCTCCCCTTTTTCCAATTGCTTTCAATAAGTTTTGCCTCATCCATCGCGACGTCCTCAATGCTTCAATATGCTGTGCTTTGCACTGATCATAGCCACAGCTCATGCACATCACACACCGCTTCTTCTATTTAAAACTATAGCTCTGCCTGTTGCCTAAAGCCGCGGAGAGGCGAGTTGGCTCCGATAAAAGTGTTGACGCGCTAAATAAGTAGAAAACAAACGAAGAGGCTGGATCATAATAAACGCTGCAGTCACAGACCCAAACACACATGCACGCACACGCCTCCCACCACACACACACACACACACACACACGGGCGCTCTCACGCACACGCTCACGCACACATGCACGCCGACAATACATAACTCCTCCATCAGCCAAACATTCATTCATTCACACAATGCCCAAACATGTCTCCTACAAAAATAAAGCAGGCTGATAAACGCACAGCCAGAGTTGCATGCTGCTGCAGCCGGTTTGACCACTGGTCCGTTTTACGGACGGCTGACGGACAGCAGCCAACGCGCGTCAACGGAGACGCGCCCGGTGGAGTCGGGGGGTCACTCCCTCCTGTGTTGTGCTGCTGTTCTGCTCAGGCTCCGCCCCGCTGCATGGTGCACCGGCTACGCACGCTGCCTCCCAGTTCTGCCTTCCGTTCGGAGATTGGGTCGCGCTTTCCACGTCTGGCCAATCCATCGCTGCGGCTAATCAGCACCAGCCTTGAAAACGAGTCTGCTCCTTCTGTGCGGGGCGGCTTGAATCAGTGTCTTGTCTGCCACCGTTCTGAGAGAACGTGTTGTCTGTGTGCGCTAAAGATTAAGCTTAAGGTTGCCTGTGTGGCTCTGTGCTTGTGTTTATTTGAGAACCCTGTGTTTTTGTGTGTTTTTATTTGACTCTGACGCTGTCCAGTACAAACTGTTACCCCTTTTGCCTGTTTTATTAAAAGGCCATCTAATTTACCATTATTACATCCTTGGTTTTATGTTACTTCCCTCTTCCCCTACGAGCTCAACTGTAGGGTCGTAACATATTTGGGGGCTCGTCCGGGATCTACACGTTCCCGGCATTAGGTGGCCGAATCAAATTTATTAGGTAAGTGGGGGGGTAAGCTGTATTGTATTTGGACATTGGGAGAATGGCAACCGCTTTCAATTTACAGGCATTCTTGCTTCATCCCTCGGCCGAAGCACTTGAGCGCTGTAAAAAGAAGGATCTATTTGAGGTTGCCGATCATTTTGAGATTTTGTATTCCCGTCAGAGCAGCAAGGCCGAACTCAAGGTGCTGCTCCTGGATGGTTTGGTGGAGAGGGGCTTGCGTTTGATCCCAGAGGCTGAGAGGTCTGATGAGAGCATCGTGCATGCGACTACCCCGAGACGTACGGAGACGCCTGCGGATGGCCCTCCCGGAGCGGAGCGTGAGTTTGTAGAGGGCGATGCGCGGCCTGAACCACCGCGCACTCCTCCTCGCTACGGGCCGCCCTCCCCAG